TTTACTAGTGCTTGCAAAGTTTTGTGAGTTTCTTTTTCTAATGATTGTTGTGTTTTTACTTTGATGATAATGTTTGTGTCATCTGCAAAAAAAATTATTTTGTTGTTCCTTAAAGCCAAAGGCATGTCATATGTGTATATACCACACTAATGAGATAGTGTTCCTGAAGGACTAACAAACACTGTTTTTACTCTTCCCTTCCACTGATTTGTGCTGTAGAGGACTAAACAAAAACACAACAATGGTGTTTATACTCCATTGTTTTAAAAATGAATACACATTCAATATTTAACGTGTTGTGCTCTACTTCCATACTTCTGCGCACTCTTTCAAACCCCTCCCCAACGAGGTTTTGGAAATATAGAATGTCAGATTCGCAGACTAGAAGCAATAACACTGCTAGATGATTATGTATCCACTTTTAAGAAAGTTCGAACAATTTGCCGGCCTCGTGCTGAATTCAAGTGAGAAGATTCTTCATATTGTAATAAATTGAATCGTGACAAAAGTAAAACAATGCATTTCATTTTCACATAGAAATCGTAATTACGCAATATATAACTGTTCTAAAATAACTCAAATCCTAGATACTATTTCAAAATGTCATATGTAATTTTTTTCTATTATTATGAAAAAAGCTGAACTTCCATTATTTTTAAAATGTACCTTGTAGAATGAAAAATATGCATATTTCGCTATGTATAGACGAAATATTTTCATTCCAACTTGCACCCGTATCTCACCACAGTTCTTTGCACTCACCTTAAAGATACATAAATTGGAGTTACGTAGTTATGGAATTGAATACTCATTTAACAAAATCTTTTCTGACAATGTTTATGCTGTCAACTGCGTGTTTTTAAATACGCCGCGGGAGGGACTGTTACCCAACTTTGCATTTCAGTTCGATGAGATTGGCAGTACCGAAAATGTACCATATTGGAATGATTTTGTTTGGTATACAATCGAATGTTTTGTAGCTAGTTGTCGTAGCGAATCAACTTGACCTAAAATAATTTTTGGCATCAAAGTAACAATTAGAGAGTACTTAACGGGCCAGCAATCGTGACGACGAAGTGGTAAATGGCGGGGAGATAAACACAGAATTATAGCAGTGAAGAGAAGGCGCAAGATGACAATTGTAACGTGTGGGATTCCCAGCATGTTGTGCAATATACCCAATTTAGGTTATGAATGTATAATGAAAATATTAGATAAATGCTTTAGCTGTACAGTAAATATGAACCAACAACAAATTTTTACTTGGTAGACATTCAGCAATTTTCTTATTACATTAAAGATGATATTAAATTCTACAGATGTTGAGAAATTTAAGATAATTTATTGGCATTGGCATCTCTGTTCCTTCTTCCGTCATCGTCGATTTTATATCGCGACGCGATGAGATTTCGTTCTTCGGATACCGTTTAGAGTGCACAATGCGAGGATGGTGAAGTGCATTAATGTGGTTACAAATAATTCATAAATTTTGAGAACTTTTGCCTGTGCAAACTAAGTTCCACGAATTTATTTATCAGTGTTGTAGATAGTGATTTAGATTTCTGCTCATGGAGTCTGAACTAGAAGAATCTTGTATAACATGGTTGGCCGGTCACCTATCTTCCTGTAAGTGTAAATCTCTTGCATAAAAAACAAATTTTTAAGTACAATTTCAAAGAATTTGGAATTATTGTAGCTTGCTAGGTTGGGTGACATCATACATTTACAAAATATTTTATATTGGCCTTTGGCTTAGCGAGATTGAATGTCATACCCCACTCATAATACATGCATCACAATTCATATATTAGTCAACTATAAATGTTTTTAACATTTTATGTTAAAACAAATATATATTTATTAAATGGATTAAAATTAATTCTTACATTTAATAATTATGTTATGGACAGTGTCAATAACTTTCGGAATTTAATAGTAATAAAATCATGAATAAAATGTATTTAAAATAAAGGGAATTTCATCCTACATATAACACTTCTTGACAAACTTGATATTAACTTCAAATGGTTAGAAAAAAATATTGATTAGCTACATTAAACGATTGAAATATCATTAAAATTTACATTTTTAATTTTTTATTAAAACATTCAAATTATTTGCATTTAAATAATTTCCTGTTCATGCCACTACTTCCCTCTCTTTACTTTACAATTGCTTTTGACTGGCCTCTCATTTGCCAGACGGGAAGAATCATGAATAAATAAAAGCTTTTAGCAATTTTACTAGTTCAATTCAGAATTTTAATAAGCATTCATCTGTGACTCTTGTCTTGTACCTAAATTTTATATGTGCAAGAAAGATCAAAATAATCTTGTAGGTTTTTTATCAAAAAAGCATCTATGTAGAGCATATGTGCAAAAATTCAAAAAATGTATTTAATTTAATAGATTATGTAACTTTTTGAAACAGGTATATCTTCTAACATGAGAACAGTGACCATCCTGTGAACCTGATTAGAATGCATTGTCTATTATTCTTTGATTTTTCTATAGTGGCCAATCACATTAGTTCATTGTTACACCTCCTGCCTTATAAAATGAATCTTTTTAATTAATTTGCAAATATCCTTCTCAATAGGGCTTGTGGCCTCAGAAATGTGCTTACTTCTGTTAAAAAGATACATTTTATAACGCAAGAGATGTAACAATGACCTCAGCCACTAAAGATAAATCAGGGTATGTCAGGGAACTGCTGAGTCTGTGTTTGCCTAAGAGAATAAAAGCAAGTAAGATCAGTGCAATATATGGAAGAATGTATTTACTGGTAGTTCAAAAACCACAAAACAATTCATGGTAATGCATTTCAGAGTGCATTTGAGACCACATTATGTTATACAAAACACAATTTTATTTAGTTGAAGTTGACGACTGAATACATTTGTCACATGCTCCTTGTGTTGTCAGTTTGAGATACCTATTGTCAAAATTTACATCTTTTTGATCTTATGCACCATGTACTAGTGCTGTTCAGATATGAAAATAAACTTTTGGGACAGTCATGCCATGGTGTTGGTTTCATAAAATGTTCTTCAAAACATAATTAAAAAGTATGCCTGTGCTTTCCAAGTATTTTGTTTCAGAGAAACAGAATGAGCCCTTTTAAATCAAGCTTACACAGAAACATAGACAAGGAATTACTTTCAACAATCTTCTCAGGTGCAAAATGAATGTGATATACAAAACTAGAATGTAAAAAATCAAACTTATTTCTAATATATTAGTAAAATTATGAGTGTGCTTAGATAATAAAATTATGTAAATTACTCACTGTTGAGATTATCGAATAAAATATATTGTTTTTTTGTGTGAGGAATTCAAATTTTCAATATAAGAATTGATTTTTAACACTGTGGACCTACTAGCACAGTTTTTAAAGAAAGAAAAAAATTAATACAAATCTTTGAACAGGGGGTCTTCTAGAATTATAAAGTACAAAAGTTAATCAACTAATGCATTAATATGTTTCATTGTTAAATAAATATTAATTTCCTTTTTGGTGCTGAGCATAGTCTTCACTTGTATAGATACAGTTATACAGCAGAAAATATTTTACTTACATTTTAATTTGTGTACTGATTTTCAATGTTCAACCTCATCTGGCCATGAGTTGTAAAGTAACATACATGTATGTGGATTTCTTTTAGTGAGCTGTTGAGACTGACCCTTGTTGAATATGATTCCTAGATCATATGTTGTAAATATCTACATTACACCTCTCTCAATTGGTGGTCATGAACTACTTTCAAGATTAGCACTGAACTCATGAAATAATTTAAAAATATAATAGTGAAAATAAAAATAAATAAAATAAAAGGACAACTGAAATTTGCATAACAAATATAACTAATAATTCATTTGTGTTACAAAAAGAACATGGGAGTTAGGGATTAAGTTGTAATCCCATGCTGAATTCATAACTGCCTGGTATGTTTGCTTGGCATGGAGTACTGGTCTTATTGTTATATGGGAGTACTGCATCACTTATTAAGTTGCAAAATTTATAAAGTTTTTTTTATTTACATACTATTTGTAAATGCAAATGTGTTAGGGGTGTAAGAAAAATAAAAAGTCACTTTCCTCAAAAAATGATGTTCTCAATATTAATGTTCTATTAAAAATAGCAAATGAGTAGAAATAAATTGGAAGAACTTGAATGCATTGGTGTCAGTCTGTCTTAAATTTTCAATTTTATAAACAGTCAAACAAAATAAAGAAAGTGGTCTCAAGTGTCAGGATAAAATCAAATCTATGTTGTCAATCTTATTTTTCCTTTAAATTAAATCTTAGAATTTAATATTAAGATACGCGAATCGAGAATATTTAAATGGAATTTTTATAATAAGCTACGCATATACACACTTTGATTTTAGTGTGCCATCAATTTCAGTTTGACTTATACAAGTATACTTTACAAGAGGGGAATTTAAATTGATACATACCCCTTAGGGTACTTGTAGTAGATTTATATGAACAATTTTTGTCGAAATATTTGAAGAAAAAAGTAATTGCGCATTGAATAGTCCAAGGATACTCTGAAACGATGAGAAATTAATTAACATTGTACAGATATGAACACTGCATACTTTTTTGTGACAAGTTATGAAATATAGTGTCTCCAATGTTTTTGTAATTATTTAGTATCTCCATGTAATTTTTAAGAAAATTTTTTTCAATAAAATTAAAAACTTAACAATTTAGCCAGATAATTAAATTTAATTGTCATCTTATGGAGGTATTTACATGTTGGGGTATGTTAAACTTTTAGTTGTTAGACAGGTACTATCTTCAGGAAGTGTGTGAATGTATGTTTAACAACATTCTAATTGATAATGAATAATATGCCGTTTCCAAGCACCCACATAATAAAAAAAAAAAAAAAATTCAATAAAATTAAAAACTTAACAAATTAGCCAAATAATTAAATTTAATTATCATCTTAGGGTGGTATTTAAATGTTGGGGTATGTTAAACTTTTAGTTATGTTAGACAGGTACAATCTTCAGAAAGTATGTGAATATATGTTTAACAATATTCTAATTGATAATGGCTAATATGCCATTTCCAAGCACCCACCATATGGAATGAGATGAAATGGTGAGGTTATTTATGAGGTGAAATCAATATTGGAGAAATTAGAATGATGTTGCCTAACTCAGGAAGAAGAAAAAAACACACACTAAATGAGGAAATCAAAAAAACAAATGTCAGATGAAATATTTTTAATAGCAACAATACAGAAAAGCCACTTCACAATTACACTAGTGATTTTGCCCCTAAAGCAATCATTGAACTGTTGAGGTAATGTAGAGTTGATAAAAAAAATTGTCAAAGGGGTGTTAATTGTGTACCTTGTTAATAACCCTATTTCATTCATAAGGTCCAAAAAGCAATTTTTTTTTCTCAATGTCTCCTGAGAAAATGTTGAAGAAACAATTTTAAAATTTTGAAAATACAAATTTTCCCGTTGGTTTTAGCCTGCCAAGCGTTCTTTTCACATTCCTAGTTGTTGTTTTTTTTCTCAAAAACCAAAACTATAGTACCCACAATTTTTACTTGGAGAAAGTTATTGTATTCTAGCTCTAAAAAAGAAGAGAAATCCTTCCACTGCGCATGCCCGCATACGCCCCTCCAAAGCTACAAATATTTCTCTGCTGCCTGCGCTCTTTGTCACAACACAGCTCTCTCGCTATGTCTTTCTCTCCTGGGTCGCGCGTTAATTCAACACTGCGAATTTTGCGATAACAAACTGAGGAGTGAGAACGATAACAGGAAAGGCAGCTTGCGTGTTTCTTCAGTAGGAACTGTGCAAACGATCAACAGAAAGTATGCAGCATATTGAAGTTTTTGGTCTCCAGTCAGTTTTACCGTGGCTAGTGAGGAGTGACAGTGTGTTTTATACAGTTTCTGCTGTAATTGCCAAATTTTGTTCGTGAGTGTGCTTTTATCACCGGCCAGTGTAGGCTGTTGAGAGGACACGCACGTAAAATCGTTAATCCGTTCGTTAATCGTGAAATCGTTCAGTACTTTCGTTACCTCAAGAATACATTAAATTGCGCGATGGAAATGTACCCCAGATGGCAAAAGATGCGCCATGTTTCGGAATCCATGCAGTGACGGCCGTAATTAGAGAAGGGTCAGCTCACGTTTTCAACTCCCAAAGGAAAGGAAATGGAGAGAACAAGACTGATCGAAAAATATTATTTTACAGCTTCTACCATAAGGCAGAAAATTAATTATTTTTACTCTGTAAAAAGGAATGTACTACTATTGGAAAGTTATTAACTGTATTAAAGGAAGTCTGAGTTATGGACTGTGACAGAGAATTCGTCAGAATACGATTACGAAAGCTTGGTGTCAAGTCGAAAAGATGCCAATCCAATAGAAAAACTCCTTAGCGACCGCCCCGATATTGTGACATGGCTTATACCTATGCGTTACTTACAAGAAATCCGCAAGTGCAGGGAAGATGAGTTTTATATTGAAGAAAACATACATTCAGGCATCACAAAGTGTACGGTAACGTGTTGATAGTGCGACGAAGAAATTGGATTTGTAACTAGAATAGGCAAAGGATAAAGATTAATTGTTCATGGAGGAGGTGAAAATGGATTTGTCGATAATGCATTGTTAAATTCTCGTCGAGAAAGAAACAAAAAACAGCAACACAACAGGAGATTATCACACGTCAATGAATACAGAAACTTTCAACAAGTGGCTGAAAGAGATCCTGATAAGGTTGCCACGTGCCTCTGGTGTAGTAATGGACGACGTAAAGTTCGAAATTGACAGAAAACCAATCTCTGCTTTTTTGAAAACAGATGTAGCAGAGTGGCTAAATGATCATGGAGTTGCTTTTGATCCATCACTCATGAAAGCCCAATGGTTTCAAATAATTGTAAGTACACGCATTGAAAACGGATACCTCGTTGATCTAATAATCATTGAACATGGCCACCTTCCTTTCGTCTTGCAGCGTACCGCTCGAATCTAAATCCAATAGTACTTCTTTGGGGATTTATAAAAGGGAGCGTGGCAGAGTTGACAATCGGCGCATCCTTGAAAGAAAAGGAAAAGTTTTGCGGATAAGCGTGTGCACAATACAGCGCTGAACAATGGAAGAAATGCTGCGAACATGTGCAGGAATGGAAGTAACATGTAATAATGTAGATGATGTGATGGACATCGACGAATTCGTCATTACTTTGGACACTCCTGGCAGTGCGAGTTCCTCTTCTGACGAAGGCAGTGATGACGTGTGACGGTCAGTGTGATCGCTGCGTCTCGCACTCGCCTCCGCACTTCCTTATCGCTGAGGGGGGAACTCTCACCTGCCGCAGGGTGGGGGAATCCTCCGAGACTTCGTCTAAGGTACGTCCGCCATTTTTTTGCGAGAGCACAGCTATAGTTTTGTAATAGTATTGAAATGTAATAGTATAGTAATGGTGCAGCAAACATGGGTGATTTTTATTTACTTATTTTGTCCCTGATACGGAATTAGTAGATAAATCTTGTTTCTATATATAGTAAATAACTTATAACGTGTGTAGTCAGACTCCATATTTTATTGGTCATTCATATCGAAAAATTGGTGTACAGTAAATCATCTGTCACTCCCTCCGTCTGTGAACAACGCCAGCAGCTAAACCATGTGCAGGATTTTGAGTAAAATTCATATTTCTAGATAGATCTGGCTAATGTCGCGGCCCCTTGAATTTGAAACGGATAATTTGATATTGGGGGATATTTTACATGAAGCTTCGAAGATACTTTCAATATTTTCTCAAAAATGACTTCAATTTTTCTCAGATAGTGAAAAGTATGCTCGGAAGACAAGGTCATCGGCATAAAGGAAGGTTTGTACTCCTGATGTGGGTGAGCTGTCATTTATATAAATAGAAAATAGGATAGGGGATACCACAGCGCCACGAGGTACACGCGACGCAAGTTTATCGCCTAAACATAACCCGGAAACGATGCGTTCAAGAGGGTTACGTTTTACATTTCTTATACGCTAGTTTTCAAAATGATGCCTTTTGTGGACATTCTAATACATTTGTGAATAATTCCTTCAATCCGTAGTGCGCGTTTTAATATTTATTTAACGTTAAAAACTTTCTTACGTCATACAGTATGTCATACTAGTAGAGAAATGTATTCTATGCAAGTTTTCTTAAATTCTGGGATCCCTACCCTAAACCGCTTAAATCTTGAATTATGAATAGAGATGAAAAGAGCGTTTTTAACAAAAATTGGTAAGAATATTTCCACGGCCGTATAATAAAAACTATACGCAACGGCAAATCAGTAACAGATTTTGTTACTTATTCTCGATCGTGCCCGTGATGAAAATATATCTTCCCATAATGATCGTGCCATTCATGAAGGGTTAGGGGACACGGATAACAATAATTTGAATAACTATATTTCCCACTGAACTCTAGAAAACGTGCACAGATTGTGATGTCACATTTTTGACCAGAAGCAAAACAAGGGGTCATCTCAGCATTCACTCAAAGGATCAGGGAAACTAGACGAATGACCTAATCGAGATTTCGGTCTTGATCAAGAAGCTGAGATATTACTAATTATTAATACTATACTTGTTACAAGCATATTTAGTATTTTAGAATTATACTGCTGTATAAGTTGTAAAAACTATAAGAGCATAAGCACGATACCAGTGACATCAAAAATATTTGCAAACTTAATAAGACAGAGACTAATCAAAATTGAAGAAGAGAAAACCATGGAAGAACAATGTGGATTTCGCAAGGGGGGAAGTATAATAGATCCAATATTCACACTCCAACAAATTATAAAAAAAAGGAAAGAACATAACTTACCAGCATATATACTGTTCAATGACTGTAGAAAAAGCCTATGACAATGTGAATAGGCAGAAGTTATAGAAAATTCTGAGAGAAGAAACGGTACCAGTACATTTAATAAAAAATATATGGAACCTCTACCAGGATTCCAAAATAGTTATTAGAAATGACCGAGGCACAATACAGATGAAGATAAATAAAGGTACAAAGAACAAGTATGCATGCTGTCACTACTAACATTTACTCTTTTACATTCACATGCCAAAAAAAATTGAAACAAATCTCAAGCAGGAATAAAGATTACAAACAACCTGAAATTAGTGGCAATATTATTCACAGATGACCAAGCTATAATAACAGACTCACAAGACACGCTACAGAAAGCTGCCTTCGAGTTAAGCAAAGAATATCAAATGCAAATATTAAGCCAGAAAACTGAAACACTAGCTTTCAATGTAAAAGAACATCTTAGAGCCAAAGGAGTAATAGAAAATTAAATAATTGAACAAGTTATTACTTTTAAGTATCTCGGAAATTCAATTGGATTGGACCAAAAGGATATAGAAGAAAAATACAAAAATATAATATAAACAATGGAAAAATAAAGAGACATTTTGGGCGTATGAGAAAATAAACAATAATGGGAATCCATAATATTACATCAAAACCAATGCTAAAATATGGTTAAAAATATGGGCATAAAGGAAACCAGAAGCATAGAAGCCTAGATGAAGTTTCTAATGTCAGTGTTGGGAGTAACAAGAATGGGCAAAATTCGAAATGAAACAATTAGGAATGAACTAAAAACAGGAAACCTAGCAGAAAAAAATCAAAATTTACCAAAGGAAATGGAGAGAACATGTGAAAATAATGGACAAATAACGTCTACCACGGATGGCATCAAACTATAGACCGAAATGGCAAGGACAGATGGAAACCGACAAGATTGCACCATCAAGAACACTTCACCACGTGAAGGAATATTGTTTAACAGAACAGGAGCACCACTGCTAAACCGAAGATGATGATGAGAATTATACTGTCCAAAATGCAACTAATACATTAAATATCGTTAATATCAATTGTACATTTCTTTTTGACGTGCGGTATAGTCTAATTGTATAGCAGGAGTGACGCTAGAGAAATATTTTACTTTGCTCTGAAACTTTTGTACGAAACTTGTGCACTGTAACTTGTATATCGTTTAATGTCATCTGACTACGTGGTGTAACCTTCTCGAAAATGGATGTATGCAAGATGCGTTAACGTAACGCACATGGAGTGCGCATGACGTAGATTTAATGAATGCGATGTGCACACGAGGTTGCCACGACATATATTGGTGTGTCCAATTTGTGTACTTCGGCTCAAATGAATGTACGCATGAGTTTGAACTGGGATGTGCTTGATGTGTTCAAGATGGATTCGAAAGAACAGGCAAAATATTTATGTACCATGTGTACCGTTGCGAAGCAGTGTGCGCGCTTGGAGAGCGAAACTAGTGAATTACTTCCCTTGGAATAAGTCCAGTGGAAATCTTCCTCGATTCTCTCTCAAAATTGTCATTAACTGAACCCATGTGAAAACTTTGCACTTTTGAACTCAACATCTTTGTCCTGTGATGGACTACTTCACTATTTAGTTGGTGGTTACCACATTGACCCAACCTAAGCTAATCTATTCACAAACAGGAAAGAAAAAAAGAAGAAAAAGAAAAATCCACCAAAATTGCATTGCATCTTGAACATGTATGTTTCCACATTCGGTGTGGTAACCAGATCACCACCACTGCCAGTTCAGATCTGCCACTGTCTGTGGTTGAGTTATTCGTTCTGTTAATTGTACTTATATGTATACATGTATTTCACTGAATTTGAGCATGCACCTAAGGGCTAGGGGGCTCCCACTTCATTTCGCTAAAAATCAGATGTAAGGCAAAATATAACTCAAATATAAAAGTATTAAGAATCTATATCTGAAATTATTGTGGGGAGTACTCTGTCTGCCAAAATTTAACAGTTTACAGGAACACAAATTTTAAGCCAGCAGACCACAAACATTTAACATAAATCTTAACTACAAAAAAATGATTACAATACTTAATGTTTATGACAAATCAATAAAACAAACTAATATCATTTATAATTCAAACAAACAGTACATATAACTTTTGGACAAAATCTCACATAGGACAATGATTTCAAGTCCTTCATTTAAACTTTATTTTCCTTCATTTACATAATGGTAATGGACACAATAATGTCTAATATTGGTACGTGTATTAATAAGAAAATGAAAATTCCTAGCTCTTGTTATTTATATGATAACTAAACTTTGTATTGACTTAATATTACTATTAACATTATGGTAACTAAACACATATGGGCTTTTAGTATTTTTACGTTAATACATAAATAATTTATAACCAGTGATTGTCAATTAGTGAGTACTTTTGGTTTAATGAAAAAATGGGCTGAAGTCTAGTATACGATACAACTTACGGAAAAAGTTTAAACCGATACTTCGCGCAGCGCAACTACGCAGTTTGAATTCTGGAGGCTTTGTTGAAAAGTGTCTTTCTTATGAAAGTGCATTGGTAATTATGCGGTGGCTAGACTCAAGAACGTTTATAGTGAACGCGAGGGCCGAAGGCCTTGCTGTGACTTGGATCCGGCGAGCGAAGAGAAA